AGCTTGATAATCGATTATCCAAAGATTCCCTGTCCAAAAATTTAAAATTCTATCCGTTGGAGGACAACGGTAACCCAGATAATCGATTGTCAACAAGTGATAATCGATTATTGGTCCTCTCAGAAGATTCTGGGTTTTGGCTGCAAAGACTGATAATCGATTATCGCAAAGCTGATAATCGATTATTGCGTGCTTCAGAACTTTGGAAGTTCAAAGCTGCAGGGGCTCATAGTCGATTGTCACTAAGGTGATAATCGATTATCACCCAGCTAAAGTCTAGCCAGCAGAAACCCGTTTTGAAAAACCGAGGTCCAAAAACGAAGTGTTCCCAAAAGTAAAAACCTGGTTTGGAAAATATTGTATATGGTATAAAATAGTGAAAACAAGACTTGTTTGGTAAAAACCAAGTCTCCAAGGTCGTATAATACGTGCTTACGGTTTAGACCGTTTTTCACGTGTTAGACCGATTGACCAAGATACAAAAGTGGTTTTTATAAAATAATTATTTGGGAACATTTTAAAAATGCTCAAAGGTAAAAACAGGGTTTCAAATATTAAAAACCACGGAGTTGGTTCGGGCGCCAAAAACCGAACGCCGAACGTCGAAAGCCGAACGCCGACTTAGGTGGTTTTGGTTCTGAGCAAGGACCAGGGATTTTAACAATAAAAGAAATCATCAAAAATGTTTGTTTTGATGCACAAAAAAATATTTTATGATTTGTAAAAATTGTTTTGACTTTTTGAGAACCAAGACTTGAATTTATTGTCGGTTTTGATCACAAAAGACCGACTCGACTAAGTCTTCAATTCCTGATATTGTCCTTGAGTCTTTTAGTTCTTGTTCCAAGCCATTCTTCATGCCTTGAGTTATTCAACGAAACTCTTTATATCCACGGCGGTTTGGCAATTATCAAAACCTGTCAGAAATGAACACGACTTTAGTTTATCGTATAAAGCGTGTTCCAACAAATTCTACGACTTCCCTCGATGCTTTTGGTCATGAGCTCTCTTGTTAAATATCTTGGTCCCTTACATCACTTCTTGGGGATGGAGGTTATTCATGCTAATGGTGGGTCTTTTTATCTTAGCGGCAATACATTTATAATATTCTCACTAAGCATGATATGGAAATTTCAAATTCTATTACCACTCCCTTGGCTTCGTCGTATGCTCGACAGCTCCAAGATGGGTCGGCTTAGCTGATCCCACTTCTTTCGGGAAACTTTTGGGCTCTTTACATAATCTCTCGCTTACTTATCCTGATGTTTGTTTTGATGTGAATAAATTGTCTCAGTTTATGCATGCACCTACCGTGCTACATTCGCAGGCGGCCAAACGTGCTCTTCGTAACCTTAATGGTACTCTTTCCCATGGTTTTTTCTACGAGTTCAGGTGCCATTGCAGCTTACAGTCTTCTCTAACTCTGATCGGGGTGGTATCCATCATGGTGGTACGTTCACTACTACCTTTATTGTCTATTTTAGGTCTAATCCTATTTCTTGGAAGCCTGCGAGACAAAATATGGTCTCTCGCTAATCCACAGAGGCTGATATCGAGTCCTTGCTCATGCTACTGTGGAGACATTATGCCTGCAAAACTTGTTAAGGGAGCTTGGTGTACGCGTCACCCGTGCGTCGGTCCTATATTGTGATATCCTTGGTGTTACTTACGTGTGCAAAAATCTAGTATTTCATTCTCATATCTGTGGACTATTTATTTTTTCGTGATCAGGTTTCTACTTATCTTCTCCATGTGTGTCACATCTCATCCTGCGGCCAACCAGCGGATCTTCTCACTAAAGCTAAGGGGGTGTTTGTTTTTTCTGCAGGAAAAGGTCTGCGGTCTGCGGACCACTACTGTAGACATCTGCAGGAGAAGTGGTGGACCGATGGTCTGCGGTCTGCAAGAAGAAGACTGTTTGTTTTTTAATGTCTGTAGAATGCTATATAAATTAATGGTGGTAGTGTACGGTGGTGGTGTATGGACGATTGTGGTGGTGGTGGTGGGTGGTGGTGGACGTTGATGG